CCTGGGGGCTGATCTTGCTGGCGGGGGCGGCGTCGTCCTTATACTTGTCGGTCAGCTGGTAGATCTGGTGGGCCAGCTTCTGCACCGTGCACGTCCCGAACCGGCACCCCGTGCTGATGGCTTGCAAGTGGGAGAAGCTGTTAAGGCTCTGGCGGTAGCGCTTGACGCGGATGTGAGCATCCTCCCGGCTGCTGCGAGGCAGGAAGAGAGAGAGCGGGCATGAGAAAAGCGCAGTGGGGCCCCGGAGGAGGGGACCCGGTGGGCCCGGGGCGGGGAGGGCAGGGAGCCCCCAGGCTGGAGGCGGGCCCGTCCCGACGGTGCAAAACTCCCCTATCTATGGATCCAGAGCTCAAGTTACTATTTATATTTGACTTTCACGGCAAAGGCGCTGCTATCTCCCGCCAGCTGAAGAGCGCGGGGAAAGGGAGGCAGGAGGCTGCTCTCAGCGCGACGTGCAGCCCGGGCAGGACCTGCCTCCGGGGCTGGGGGATCGATAGCGACAATAAGCCTGAACTCCCGGAAACGAGGGGACCCCGAAACTTTCCACTGCCTCGAGCAAGTGCCCGAGCCCAGAAGGGGCTGGAATTTACCTGGGATGCGAAACTCGAAGATCCTCCTTCACGTCCTGGGTCCGTATGAGCGGCTGCACGTCGGCGGCTGCCCCCAGCCCTCGGAGCGCGCCCGAAGGCTTCACGTCCCGCTTGGCTCGGCTCAGTGCCCATTTCGTCCATCTGAAAGGAGCGCAAGGGAAGAGGACAGCCTGTTAGCGCAAGCCTGCAGGGCGGGAGCCAAACCAAATAGATTCGAGGGGCGATAATCTTTGCCAGCGCCGAGATTTTTTTTGGGGGGGGGATGTTTCCTGAAAGGGCATGAGGCCTTTTAGGAGCTGTGCAATTCCCGCAGGGAATCCAGTCCCTCTGATCACGGCCGGAGCCCGGCGCGGGGGCGCGGAGGCTCCGCGGCTCCAGGAGCGGGGCTGGGCGCTGGCAGGAGGGCGCGCTCCGATACTCACTTTCTTTTGAACTCTGTCGCTACGTCCACCCTTGCAGCATCCACCCCGAAGAAGGTCACAGAGCCGAGATAGAGCAGGGCTACGTGAACTAGTTTCATTCTGGCTGGGCTCCTGGTGGAGGGAAAAGAGAAGAACTGTAAGCATGGTTGCTAATAAAAGTCAAGTAAGGTCTATCCTTTATTTCTGGTGATTCCAGAGAGCTCCTTCCCTCGGAGAACCCCCAGGCTACCGGGGACTTTGTGTGCGATATGAACCAGAAGCTAATATTTGCTCAGCAACTTATCACAGAGTAAATAACAGAGCCTCCAAAGTTTACGTTTGTCGAGAGTTTTACTTGCAGAGGCGGCTGAAAAACAGCAGGATTTCCAGAATACCCCCAGCGGCTTGCACTAGGATTTAGCAAACCCGTGAGATTAGAGAGAGCTGACTATCAGACGCATCGTTTCCAAACTCCAGCAAGTGTTTTGCTGCCTGGAAGTTTATCCCCTGATAGCTCATCTTCCCACTTCACGCGCAGAACCAGCTAGTTCTGGATCTTATGTTGTAAACGGCAGCTGATGCCAAGAGCCAGTGCAAGAGTCTGCAGCATAACTCCAAGCTCTTCAAAACAGTCCAGCTTTAGTAGATTTTTCACTTCCTCTCCACCTCTCCTGCATTTTTTTGTTGTTGCTGTTGGGGGGGGGGGGGGGTTCACAGCCAGGAACCGCAAGCAACTACTTCACCTTTTACATATATTCCAAGCAAACCATTACCACCAGAGAGACAGGTTTACTCTTTGTCTCCCACAGGGCACTTGTCAATTAAGCTCCAGCACCAAGATGTGCTTTGGTTGTGGGTTGGCTTTTTCTGGTGGTTGTTTGGTTTTTGTCCCCCCCCCCCTGTTTTTTTTTTTTTTTGTTGTTGGGGGGGGGGGGGAGTTCTTACCTGACAGTGAGGATAATCCACTGAGACAAATGTTCTTGTAGTAGCGATCCGAACTTGCAGGGTTTCCTGAGGAGCGAGAACTCCTTCTTTGTGTGTCTGAAGTAACCACTGCGAGCTGCGCTCCACCGCTGCCTTTTATAGAGGCAGCAGCGCGGGGGAAGTGGGTGGACCTTGGCGTAGCGCAGCGATTTTTTTTGACACTTACCCCCACCCCCACGTCCCAAGCACTTCTTAATCATTCTAGCGTGGACTGGGGGCAACCCATACTAAGGTAAAAATAAGAGGATTACTGAAAATTATCTTAAACAATCCCCTTGGTATTTTGTTAATTATAACGACAGCTTTTAGGTGTGGATTCCGAGTCATGGCATAACTTGCAAAATCTGATAAGCCCCTCAGTCTGTTTTACGGGGGACAGACTTTTTAACTGCCGATATATAATTATGTCTACACGGTGTGTAGCGTGATTTCTCATTCTAGGCATCTTCAGGTGGGTGGAAGCAGGGGACTAGGACCTAGACCCCATCAATTTCGAAATCCATGCAAATCCATCAAATTCCAGAGTTCCAAAAATAAACCCATATTTGGACAACGTGAACTGTAATGAGTAACCGTAATGAATGCCAGCCTTCTTTACATAAGTAAGGAGGTGACATATCAGACATCATTAATAATTATGACTCAACTCGGGTGCATTTTTTTTATCTAATAAAGTGTATTTGATTTACTTGATCGATTCAAATAAATCACAATTTAAATGGTTTTGGAAGATCAAAGTCAGAGCGCACTTCTGTACCTTTGACCAAAGGAAGCGGTGTTGCTTTGGGGCGAGCACAGGGTCACAGAAACGCTTGGGGGTATGGGCGCCAGGGAAGACTTCCCGACCGTCGTTTTACCCCCAGTCCGCAAACTTTTATATACGTGAATGCACTTGCTTCCCCGGTTATAAAGCTAAACCAGTGCAGGATCAAGGTCTCTAACAGCATTCTCCCGGCTGGCCAGCAGCAAAACCTTGCTCTGCCCACGCTGCAGAAATGCAGAGGTCGGGCTTGGCAGGCGGTGCTGGAGGCCAGCACCAGAGGGACTGTTTCTCTACCTGCTTGTGGCAGTGCAAATTCAGCGGAACCGAGGGAAATGCCCCCGGAGACCTGCGCCCGGGGCGCCAGGGTCCCCTTCCCAGCGAGAGATACTCGGGCGGGAGGGAGGAAGGAATAGACTGGCGTGTGCGAGATGTTTCTCTCGCATCTTGCCCCAAGCAAAGTGTTTCAAAAATCAGGTGAGTATGTACTCGTGACTCTGCCTTTCTAGATAACCGCGGTATATAACACCACCCTGGAGAGGTATGTGCAGGGGGATGACGGAAACTTTCCCGTGCACGGCCGACTCGGTCTGAGGTGCTCCCTCCCGGCCTCGCCAGCAGCGTCCAGGCATCTGGAGGCTGCTGCCTCCGGCATCTACCTGTCCGGGGCCCGGCTGGCCCGGGCGCCGCCACCCCGCTCTGCCGCCGCCC